ACTAAGTTTTGGCTGACTACTAACCATATGAGAACCAAGTCCGAGAACATGAGATCTTGTGACTTTTTCAAGAGATGTGAGAAACTGCCATTTTCTGTGTAATATGCCAATCTCTATTATATCATGTAGAACAAACAAAGACTGTGTGTGGGTTCAATCTAGCCTATGGGCAGCTAGTTTCCAACTTCTGTTCTAAGGTTTCACAGCAAAATAAGTAGTACATGCAGGTTTCCAGGATTAGAAAAGCAAGAATCTTGGAAAGCCAACATAAAGACAGAGGCTGGGCCAATGAGTCAGGGAAAAGGGGTTAATTTTTAGGGGCAGACAGTCTAAAGGAGTTGGAAAAGTCTATCAGAAAAATCTGACAGGAATTCTGGAAAAGTTCTACTGCAAGGAGGCATAGGTCAAGAAAAACTAGAATGTGTAGGGACGCTATCTGATTTAGGGGGGGAAAAGGGGAAAGTGGGGATATATCTGTATATAAACACAAGTTATTTCACCTCTTTATGCCTTAATTTCCTTGTCATTAAAATAATAACAGAGTGCTGGGTACAGTGGCACAAGCCTATAATTACGGCAGCTCAGGAGGCTGAGGCAGGAGGATCGCAAATTCAAAGCCAGCTTAAGCAACTTGATGAGACCTTGTCTCAAAATAAAAAATGGGCTGGGGATGTGGCTCAGTGATTGACTGTCCCTGGTACAATCAATCAATAAGAACTTATTTCATATGGCTGTTGTAAGGATTAAATAAGGTGGCTATTCAGGTAACTGTCATTACCCCTGGCATGTGTAATGTTCAAAAAGTTAGCTATTATTTATGATTACAAGGCATTAAGAGGTAAAGTAGTTTATTAAGGATCATGTGGCTATTAAGACGTACTGCCTGGATCTATACCCACATGTGTGGCTTTGGATCCCATACTCTATAAGCCATTAAGTTCTTCTGTGTTCCCATACCTTGCTAGGCTAGTTTCTTAATCTGTACAATGAGGAAATCGGTGATAACTAAATTCTTTTCTACAACTGACATTTTATTCTTCTAGCTAGCTCTCTAATCAGCTTATTTCAGGGCAGCAGTTGAACATAAATGTCTCTGCTCACACATCTACAGGCTATCAAACTAAAGTAGAACATTATTGATTAGGCTTGAAATAGGCTACAGAAATCATTTTAAAATTGAATAATCCATAGGTTCAGCCAGAAAGGACTCAATATAAGTCTTACCTCATGGCTTCAAGGAGATTACATTCGTTTCCAGAAGGCCAACAGCCCTTCCAAGTAGGCCCTGAATTCACCCACCTACATGTCCATGCTATTATAAGCTGGAAGTCACTAATAAGGCTGGTAAGGAAACAAAATAGGCTCTAAACCTGAAATGGTCAGAACATCAAGCAACTCTTATCCTTTTGAGGTCAAGGGTCTCTATGAGAACCTGGACAAAGCTTTTGTTCCAAGGGAAAAAAAAAATGCTGCATATGATTGCTCAAATAGGCACCTATAATTTCACCTGTAATTTTAAGAGGTTCACAAATACCCTAAAATCTCTCCCTATACTTTATCCCTAAAGTACACCTATCCTGTTCCAGGCTTGTCCTCCCACCCAAGGGACTCAGAACCGCCCCAAGATCTGGGATAGGGTTTCTAGGCAGCTGTGCTCAAGAGACAAATTATCTACTGCAACTCAGCATAATTAATCCTATATGGAAAACACAAATCGCCTTCTCTCCCTCCTCCATACCAACTTGCACTGAGGGAATCTGAACAGAAAAGATCTGTAATTTAATTCCCAAAATCCACTTTGTGAAATTAAGAAGTATTCTAAGAATATGTCATGCTCTTTTCTACCTGATGCCCAGAGAGCCTCACTGAATATTAGAAGGGTTAGAATAAACAGGCAAAAACATCCTAGTTCCCTTGGCACTGTGCTCCTCCTTTGATTTAAAAAAAAAAAAAAAGAAATCAGTCAAGATTACCAAATAGCTTTATTAGGTGACTCTTTTCCCTCATGGACTTTGAAAATTATATGTTACCAAAGAAACCACAAAACCTCAACCATGAGCTAAAGAAGAAATCAAAACAAGAAGCTATAATTTCCCTCTAAAATGTTAGAAACACTTTCATTGTTGGTGAGGGTCTGGAGAAAACATAATCTCAAACACAGTTGGTAAGTTTGTAAGTCAATGCAGCTTTGGTGGTGGGGGTATAGTTGACAATTTTTATCAAAAATATAAAAACACACTATTCTTGGGCTGGGGATGTAGCTCAGTTGGTACAGTGCTTGCCTCGCATGCATAAGGCCTGGGATTCAGACCTCCACCAAAAAAACCCCCCAAAACAAAAAATACTATTCTGAATTCCTAAAGATATTTTGCAAAAGTAGGCCAAAACAGGTGTGCAAACATGTTCAACATAGCCTTGTTTATAGAGGCCCCAAATTGGAAACAAGTACTAGTTTTTAGGTATGTCACATTAATGGGACATCGCATAGCCATTAAAAGAATGAGCCAAATCTGTAAGTGCTGATAAGAAAAGATCTCCAGGACATGTTAATTGAAGGTTCGGAGGAGTTGAGAATAGTGGATATTACAGGCTCTTTCAGTTTCTTTTTCTTCTTTTTTAGTGGTATTGGAAATTAAACCCAGGGGCACTTTACCACTGAGCCACATCCCCAACCTTCATTTTTATTTTGAGACAGGGTCTCATTTAATTGCCTAGGCAGGCTTCAAACTTGTGATCCTTCTTCCTCAAGTCTCCTGAGTTGCTGGGATTATAGGCATGTGCCACCATGGCCAGCAGTCTAATTTTTTTAAAGTATACATATGCATGCTAATATCTGCATTAAATTATGTCCTGGAAAAGACTCTTTTTTCACTGTTGTTACCTTTGGAGAGAATAAGTAATTAGAGACCTGGAAGTAGAAGAACCATCTTAATATACAAACATTCAAAAAGCATGTCAGGGTTCTTCTTTCTTTTTTGTTTACCTTTAAATACTTAAATAATTGTATGTATAAAACCCTAAATGTCAGTGTAAAACTAAATAATAATCATCACTTAGAAATTTTATTAAGAAAGGAGCCCTTTGTAAGTTTAACAAGGAAAGGGCCCATGCGATGCATAGCAATAAACTAGTGGAGGAGACTGGAAGAGAATCAAGAGGAGAATTAAGACACTCCTTCCCCCTCTTCTCTCAAGACACTGCTGACATCATGAATTACTCAAGCTTTCCACTGGAGATGAAATAGCTCAGTGCCCCACTCCTGTTGCCAGCTATTCATTGCAATTTTAAGTGAAGGAGATAGTACATTAGGAGAAAGTTGGCATAATCAGTCCAAACCCTGCCTTTTGTAGTGTGGATAAGGCAGAACAGTTGTTCCTAGAAAGTGTGAGTGGTAGAATACTCTGCTGATGAATATTAGAGATTGTCTTCCTTGAAGACAGCAGATCTCCATAAGCACACAGTGCAAAGGCACATTAGGGGCCTACCATTACATGCACTGGAGAAACAAGAGTCAAGTGTATATACAACAGAAAGGCCTAGAAAAAGCTGTGCTGTCCTGTGGTACCTCAGGGAGCCCTGCTCAACACTAGGGACACTCCCTGCCTACACAGATCTGCTGTAATAGTTTCAACTCCCTTTGACTGCCTCATAGAGAGAATTAGGTAAGACGAAAATTCAAGGAAGATAATTCTCTATACTTAACTGCCCTTTCATCTGAGGCCCATAAAATATAAACTTACTTACTTTCCATTTCATTCGTCTATATATTCTTTACTTTTATTTAATTATTTTTTAAATATTTATTTATTTATTTATTAGGTGTAGATGGACACAACACAATGCCTTTATTTTTATGTGGTGCTGAGAATCGAACCTGGGTCCCGCCTGTGCTAGGTGACAGCTCTACTGCTGAGCCACAATCCCAGCCCCTATATATTTTTAAAATATTTATTTTTTAGTTGCAGTTAGACACAATATGTTTATTTTATTTATATGTGGTGCTGAGGATCGAACCCAGGGCCTTACATGTGCTAGGCAAGCGTCTACCACTGACCTACAGCCCCAGCCCCATCTTCTATAATATTGCTTTACAAAATGAAACTGCCTCCCCATAGGATTTCCAGAAAAGCTAGCTGTCTTTTATAAAGCAAGGTCAGCTTTATGTACAGGTCCCATAAAAGGTTATCCTTCCCTCATGGGATTTTCATGAAAGAACCTCCTACTCAACCCCATTTCCACATCTTTTAATGATGCTTGAAATTCACCCATTAGTGACTTATACCACTAGGTCAAGATTGTCCAAGGTGTGCTTATTTAATAATGAAATCAGAAGGCAAATATACTAGGTCCACAAAACTATAGTGCAGTGGCTCTTAAACTTTTGTGGTCACTGGTCCTTTTTGAGAAATTGATAAAGCAAACAAATTTCCTTCTCAGAAAAATACACTTACATTTATATAATTTGGGGGCTTACAATTTAGAGGAACTCCTTCCAGCCTGTGGTTAAGAACCCCTGGTTTAACAGCAGTGAGTTTGGCAAATCCCTCTCCCCGTGGAAGAGTTCCTGTGCACATGTAGGGAATGCCAGGTCTCAAGAAAAAAGGCAGGACTGAAGCTACTTGGGGAAGGAGGATCACAAGTTCAAGGCTAGCCTCAGCAACTTAGGGAGACCCTGCTTCGAAATAAAATAAGACTCCTGGTGTGGATGCATGCCTATAATCCCAGCAGCTCAGGAGGCTGGGGCAATTACTTCAAGTAATTGCCTAGAACTGACCCCATCCAGAATTCAGATTATAACTTATAACTCCTCATCAGCAATGTCTATGGATTTCTCATTTTGTTGGCTGCTTGGGAATAGGTTCTTTTGGCTTCAGAAACACCAGTGCATGTTAAGAGATGTCTAATTGAGACCAGCTGTCAAACAAGTTCACAACACTTTCTGGCTAATCACTTTACCTGAGAAATAAGGGAGGGGAAAGTGTAAATTAAGAGGGGCTCACCTCTGAGGTTTTCGGATATCCCAGAGTCCCACTCCTTCCTTTGAATTGGCTGTGGCCAATAACCTGGGCTCCACAGGGTTAAACATGACACTGTGAAAGGCTGATGGGTAGTTTGCCAGGCAGAAGGGCTCTGTGAAAAGAGAAATTATGATTGGTTCATTCTAGTCATCTTTGGGTCAATGGCAGTCAGATGAGTAAACGTATGAATCCAAGTAGGAGCATACTTTTGAATAATGCCCCCGAAGAACCAGAACCCCAACATAGTACACATCACCACAGATACCTTTCCTCAAATTCCCTCCTGAGTCCTTCGAACACTTCTTCATGCAGAAAATACAACAGTAATTTAAACACATTTAACCAAATTTCAAGTCACAATACTTAGAAATCATACAGTACCTGAAAAGGGGAAGGTAAACTATTTTACAGTTAGTTAGTAAAACTGAATTCCACATGAGCTAAAAAAATTCATGATCAGTTTCTGGTACAATTATTACAACTTTAATCCAAATTTATTAGTCTAAAAAATAAAAGTTTTAAAACTGCAGTAGATTCAGTGAAGACAAAGCCAAACAGTGAAAAAAATTAAGATAGCGCAAAACAATAGTACAAGGTTGTTTTTTAAATTTTATTTTAATTTTTTTTATGGTTTGCAATGCCTAAATGGCTTAGTGTTTATTTTTATGATTTGACTTCCAGTATTAGAATGTGTGTCAAGAGGGTAGGTATTGGGGATTCAACCCAGGGCTTCATGACCACACACTCTCCACTGAGCTATAGCCCCAGTCCTTTTTTTATTTTATTTATTTATTCATTTATTTACCTTCCCCCTCAACCCAGTACTAGGGATTGAACACAGAAGCATTCTACCAATAAGCTACATCTGCAGTCCTTTTTATTCTTTATTTTGAGACAGGGTCTTGCTAAGTTGCCCAGGACATTCTCAGACTTGAGATCCTCTTGCCTCAGCCTCCTGATTTGCTGGGATTATAGGCACGCATCCACACCAGGATTATGGGTATGTGCCACCATGTCCCACTAAAAATATTTTTTTAAAAACCTAATACTTGAACTTCTTTTGCATTCAGTCAGGTCCCAGTCAACTTCACCTACAACCCCTGTGTCCATCTGTATTAATTATCAGGCTCCAAGTGAGGAAGGAATCACTTTTATGGAACCTGTTAGAGTGAAAGACAGAAAGCACTTTTCAGTCTATGATTTCCAAATACATTACTACATAAGTCTCTGAGCAGGTGAAGTACTTGCAGTCATCAGGCAGTGCAAACAAAGGAAAATCTCATCTACTAATCACATAGAGATTGAGCTGTAAGTGCTTCTTGCTGTAACCTGACCTGCCTGACCCTAAGGACAAGCTTCTATGATAGCCTGAACCTCAATAACAAGCACAGCCCAGCATGTTACATGTTTGAAATATAGAAAAATAAAAAGACCTAGACCCAGCCAGACGAAGCAGGCAGGCTAGTAAATTCAGTGTACATAGGTGTTATCATTACACAGCCAAACTAAAGGGGAGAGGTGGGCATGACAGTGGCACTGGAGGAAAGGGCCTTTAAAGACAGAGAGAGAAATCCCTCTGTAGGAAATGAGCTAAGAAGATGCATTTCCTGAAGAACTTCAGAGAAAGTCATTAAAACAAGTTCTTCAATCACACATCAGAGACTGAAAGAGCACACTTGGGGGCATTCACAAGACAATTTCCATACAGAACATATTTGCCATCATTTTACAATCCTACATGCAGGTAAGGCAAGGTTCTGTGATTTTCTTCAACAAAAGAACAAGCCTGCAACTAAGTTTGCAAGAAAGTGTACAGCACCCCCTTTCTCTGTAAACAACTAAGGATCTATGCATGTCAGCACCACACATAGCTGGCCTTTGATGGTTACCCTCCACAATGAGGTGCCACATCTTCTGCTTCTTGGAGCCACTAACAGCCAAGTGCAAGGGTGCATGAAAATTCACAGGTAGGTGGAGATGAGCTGACAAAGATGCCCCACTTCTGACTACTTAGGGCAGTATGGGACCTCCAAAGACACTGTGCTGCCATGTGACTCACATTTTTTCTCCTTTGACAACATTCACACTCAAATACTCAGGTCACAGCAAAGAACTTGACATCAAACTGTACACACAATCCAGTAGTCTTTTGTCCGGTGACCCTACCTCCATGGGGAGACTCCCGGATGTCCCAAATGAGAACCCGACCATCATCTGAAGAGCTGGCAAAAATGTTGTCATTTACTGGGCTCACTGATAAGCCATATACTGCATCTTCATGAGCAAACACATCCAAGGTCTCGCTGCTGAGAAACAGAGAGCAAGAGAGAGGCACACAGGCACACACATACACACAAACATAGCACAGAGTCCCAGCTCTCTGGCACCTAGGGTGCAGTCTCTCTTCTTAGGAGAAAGTCAGCCTAGCTAAACCTAAAGGATACTGTATTTCCTAAAAGGTAAATGTTCAACTTTCAAATGAAAAGAAAAAGTACTATCAAAGCACTATTTTTATAGATTTCATAAGTATTTTAAAAGTGACTCGATGGTGAAGTTTTGTTTTTTTATTTATTACAGAATGCATCTGTTTATGTCCAGATTTGAGGGTGGTATTTGATTTCCAAAAAGCAAAGGAAAGCTTTAAAGCAGGCTGAATTGATATAGCAGAAGTGGGAGAGAATCTTCTAGCAGTCTGGCATGCTGATTAATAGCACAGATCTACCCAGACTGCCTAAGTTTAGATCCTAGCATCACTTGACTTTAAGTTACTTAACATCTCTGTGCCTCTGTTTCCACTTCTGCAATGTAGATCACACTATCCTTCACAAAATGATTGAGGGTTAAATGAATTAATACTTACAAAGCACTTAGAATGATGTCTGGCACATGAAAGTAAGAAGTCAATAAATATTAGCTGTGATTATTATTAAATATTATTTCTCATCCTCTTTCAATCATTCCCTTAAAATTTTCACCTAAAAAAACTAATTTCATACCAACTCTGCAAATTCCTTTTTCTTTTTATAAATCAAAACTTTATTTCAAAATTATTATGGAATGTATTTAGAAAAGGACCAATGTTTCATGTTGTTTTCTTCAAAAGATAAAAACAATTTTGGTCGAAAGAGATATTTTCCTCTCTTCCTGTGAAAAAAGTCAATCACCTTCACACACCAACAACATATTTACCTTTCAACATCATGAAGGATAACTTGCTCATCATTTCCTGTAAAGGAAAAAAAGTAGAATCTGATAATTCCTGCTAGTTGGCCCCTATCCACATTACATGAAGAATTTAAGTTCTCAGGGTAAAAATATGAATAGTCAGTGTTAATACAAATTAGGAGTTTTACTAAGAAAAGGTTTATAATAATTTAAGGATAGGACATTCTTTATCTTTTTAAAATATTTATTTTTTAGTTGTAGTTGGACACAATACCTTTGTTTTATTTATTTATTTTTATGTGGTGCTAAGTATCTAACCCAGGCCTCGCACACACTAGGCGAGCACTCTACTGCTGAGCCACAACCCCAGCCCCAGGATAGGACATTCTTACAGAGATTTTTAAAAACTTAAGCGTAATAAGGGATAACATAATAACTGTTCCCAAAATGTAGTATTTAGTGGATTAGGAAAAACCTTCAAGGAAATTGTAAATGATCTAATAATTCATTCACCCAAATTAGCTTCCTGTCCATCACCAGCAAAACACTCCTTAACTATGAACCTGGAATGAAATCTCTAACATTTTTATGCCTCAGCTGTTTATCTGAAAATAGAGATAATAACTGCTTCTACTTCATAGGGCTACTGTGAGCATATGAGTCTGTAAAAGCATTCAAAATAGGGCAGAACACTTGATAAGTCCCCAATAAATATCTGCTACTATTCCTATCCTCTTTATATTTTATAGCATTAAAATTTGATGGTAATGTGATTTTAAATGATGGGAAAGTTTTTCTCTACAACATTTTTCTTTTGCAGTTCTCCTCATTCCATTAAAGGATCTAAAAACAGTACATTCATTATACATCTTCAAATGGTTCATATAGCTAAAATATAAAAATCTAAATATGCAAAAGCAGAGAGTAAAAAAATATCCTACTGTATGCTTAAATACACAACCAACAGTCACTTAGATAGAAAGGTACAAAGAGCAGTAAAGATGTGGCTAGGGTCATCTTAAATTTCAAAGCCTTAGCTGTAAATTCTACCATGAAATCAATAAACCCATACTGGTGCCTTCTTGGTGCCAGGCACATGCTAGGTATTGGGAGAATTATAAGATTAAGACTCTGCCCAGTCCTTGAGGAACTGATAGTCCAATTGCACTATTAAGGTGGAAGAACAATATGAACAAAAGGCACAAGGGTAAAATACTATAGTGCATATGCACAGTAGTTTAGTGGACTAAGTACATTTCATGGGCAAGGGAAATAGGCTAGGGATAGACTGGGGTTTAGACTGTAAATGGTGGGCACTGTAGGTCAAGAATTCACATGGTCAAATCTTTATTTTTAAATGAAAATTTATAAAAGAAATGCATGAGAAGGAGGGTTAGCGATTGGTGGCAAAAATCACACAAGGCCAATGCAATTGTTGAGGCCAAAGATGAGGACTTAAATCAAGGCAGTGGGAATAGAAAAGATGAGGACCTAAATCAGGGCAGTGGGAATAGAAAAGATGAGGATCTAAATCAGGGAAGTGGGTATAGGAAAAAAAAAAAAAAAAACAGAAACTAAAGGATGAGTAGAAAGAGCTTTTGAGATAGATCTGACAGGACTTTGTGACTGACTATATATGCAAATGACAGAAAGGCAGGTTTGAGGAGGAATTTCAAATGAACCATTTAAAATTGCCATTTGTATAAGGCCATTTTTATATGGCCAAAGTCAGCAGTTTTTTCTATCTTAGTATTCTGTTGCTTTTTTTTTTTTTTTTCAGTGCTGGAGATTAAACTCAGGGCCTAACATGGTAAGCAAGTCTGAACTATATTTCCAGCCCAATATTTAAATTGCTTTTAGAAAATAGGTAGACATTCAATGGTAAAATATGTAGCTCCAAATGAAGATCAGGGCTAAAACTGGAACAGAGAGGGGTGGTTGATGAAGCCATCACCAAGAGGTTAACTTTAGCACCAGCCATTCCAATTGTTCCCTAACACAATGCTTTTCAAACAAGGGTCATGACATCAAATTAAGTCACAGCCAACATCTTTTTTTTTTTAATGCCTTTATTTATTTATTTTTATGTGGTGCTGTGGATCAAACCCAGGCCTTTGCACGTGCTAGGCAAGCACTCTACTGCTGAGCCACAACCCCAGCCCACAGCCAACATCTTTAAAAATAAAACAGAATAAAAAATAAGGCTGGGTGCAGTAGCACATGCCTATAATCCCAGTGACTCGGCAGGCTGAGACAGGAGGATCGTGAGTTCAAAGCCAGCCTCACCCACCCCAAGAGGCTAAGCGACTCAGTGAGACCCTGCCTTTAAATCAAATACAAAATAGGGCTGGGGATGTGGCTCAGTGATTGAGTGCCCCTGAGTTCAATCCCCAGTACCAAAAATGAAATAAATGTTTCAAATGTATGTGTGTATGTGTGTGTGACAGAGAGAGAGATATGTGTTCATGTGTACCAGAGCCCAACATGAAAGATTTCTGCCAAAGAGGAAGAAAGGAAGGTTAGGAAGAAGGAGTGTGAGAAAGAGAGAGAAGAAAGGAAGGAGAGAGAAAGACAAACCCTAAATCACATATCTAAACTGCTAAAAAGACATGCTAGAGTAAACTAGTAATACCACAGTTCAATTAAGATACAGGAAGAAAAATAGGAATTATTTAAATTCTTTTCTCTAAAATTCCAACCATAGTGAATTTCCCTCAAAGGAATTTCCCTTTTTCTCACCTCCAGAGAACACTTTGGTGTTTCCACTGTTGAAAGCCAGGCAAAAAATGTTGGAATGGTGTTCTCCTTTCAGTTGTATGGGCTTGACTCTGGAGTGGATCGCTTGTTCCATATGCCACAGCAGAACCCGACGGTCATCTCCTCCTTGAGAAGGAAGTTAAGAGTCTAGGGTTAAAAGAGCTGGCATTTGGCTTTGCCAGTCTCAAATATCATTCTTTCCAAAACTCCACCTCCCCAACTCCATAAGATTCTGATGGTACCTTACACCCAGCACTCTCCCCACTTAACCATGGGGTACATGACCTCTAGGCCACTCACTCTCTCCCATGAATCAAATATTAAATAATATAGAAATTGAAAGGGATAAGTGCTGATATTGAAACTCACTCACCCTGAAAGCAATCCTGTTTCTGTCTTTCCGGAGACCCAGTTGTTTAAATTGTTACCTAGAATCTTTCTAATAAGGTCCTTTTTTCTCCCCTAGTCTAACAGAATCAAAGGTAATTTTTATTACTTGAAGCCAAAGAACTCTGAAGTAATATTTCTAACATAATAGCCTTCAAAGCAACCACTTTTGATATGCTTTCATTGACTAAAGGATAGTGTACAAATGACAACTAAAAAACTACCTGACTCTAGTAGGTGCCAGACAAAACCCAGTTCTCATGATCCTTAGACGGGCTCTTACCTTCACAAAATTCCCAACAGTCTGAACTAAATAAGCAATATTACAATGCATGAGCTACCTCCTAGAGAATGAGAACACATATGGTCTATATATTCTCTCTCTCTCTTTTTTTTTTTTGCGGGGGGAGAGGTAGTACTGGGGAACAGTACCTCCCATATGCTAGGTAAGTACTCTATCACCAAGTTACATCCCACTATATTTATATTTGAAGATGTGTTAAAAATGTCTGGAAGGATTAATATATTTAACAATGGTTACTTCTAAGGAATAGAATTAGAAAGTAGAAGAAAGCTTGATTTTTAAAAATTTGGCATTGTTTGACTTTTTAAAATAAGCCAACAAGATATTCTTTTCCCGATAAAAATGTAAATGACAACAGGAGCAAATCAGCAAACTCTGTACCTCTGCCTCTCCACCTCTATTCAATTAAAAAAAAAAAATACCCAGCCAGGCTAGGTATGTAGCTCTATAATGTGCTTATGTGCTTAGTATGCATAAGGCCCTGGGTTCCATCCCTGTCACCATATTTTGTGTCTGTGTATGTGCAGTACTGGGGATTGAACCATGGGGCACTATACCACTGAGTTACACCCCAGCCACCCCCCTCCCCACTTTTTCTTTTGGTGGGCAGTACTGAGGATTGAACTCCGGGGCACTCTACCACTGAGCCACACCCCCAACCCTATTTTGAATTTTTATTTTGAATTTTTATTTAGAGACAGGGTCTCACTGAATTGCTTAGCGCCTTGCTTTTGCTGAGTCTGGCTTTGAATCACGATCCTCCTGCCTCAGCCTCCCAAGCCGCTGGGATTTACAGGCCTGTGCCACTGCACCCAGCCCTGGAAGCACACTAAAAAAATAAATACAATAACCACAAATTATAGCACATCCACACAAGGGTATACCATGAAGTATTAAGTCAGTAGATACGAGCTAATGTGGAGAGATAGCCAAAGGTCTTTGTTAAGAGGAAAAAATAAGTGTAAACAGTATAGGTACCACAACTACTTTTGTAAAACAAATTTTTAAAAAGCTCCAGGACAGCAAGAACCTTGTCAGTTTTGTTAACTGTGGAATCTCCAGTATCTAATCAAGGCACCAGAGAGTAGATATTGAATGAAGGGGCTTATACTTGTGTATCTATGCTTATATTTTATATAGCTATATCAAGATGGTTATAAAGAAATTGTTTATAGTGAGCATTATAACTGCTAGGCCAGAATTGGGAGACCTTTTGGTAGTCAAATATATATAATACGAAATTTAGCCATTTTTACTATTTTTTTTTTTGAGAGAGAGAGAGAGAGAAAGAGAATTTTAATATTTATTTTTTAGTTTTCGGCGGACACAACATCTTTGTTTGTATGTGGTGCTGAGGATCGAACCCGGGCCGCACGCATGCCAGGCGAGCGTACTACCGCTTGAGCCACATCCCCAGCCTTTTTTTTAAAGAGAGAGAGAGAGAGACATTTTTACCATTTTTAAGTGTGCATTTGTGTTGTTGTGCAATCATTAACACCATCCACCTCCAGAACTCTTTTATCATCACAAACTGAAATTCTAAGGAACATTAATTTCTCCCAGCCCCTAGTAACCACTATTCTACTTTCTATCTCTATGAATTTGACTATTCTAGGTACCTAATATGTATAAATCAGATTCAAAAGGATAAAACACTTATAACTTTTTAAATATTCATCTTTATTGTAGCATGCATCAGAAATTTTACACCTTTATTAGACTAAATAGTATTCTGAGTTTTATATGCTTTTATACACATATTTTGTTTAGTCATTCATCCACTGATGCACATTTGGGCTGTTTCTATATTTTGGCTACTGTGACTAGTGTTACTTAGAACATGAGTATACAAATATCTCCTTATGAACTTGCTTTCAATTATTTTGAATATATATATACTATTAAGGAATTTGGGGGTTTTGTTTGTTTTCTTTTGTTTTATTTAGTATTAACGATTGAACCCAAGCAATGCTAAGTAAGCTATCTATCACTGAGCTACATCCCTAGCCCTTTTTTAATTCCTATTTTAAGACAGGGTCTAAGTTGCTCAGGCTGGCCTTAAACTTCAATTCTACTGCTCCAGTTTCCCAAGTAACTGGGATTACAGCATGGGAAACTTTTATGTTTTAATTTTTACATTATTTCATCCTATATTACAACTTGACCTTGTTCTTAGACATATTTTCTTTTACAATTAAAATTAATAGAAGGTGGGCTGGGTTGTGGCTCAGTGTTAGAGCACTTGCCTGGCAAGTGCAAGGCGCTGGGTTAAATCCTCAGCACCACATAAAAAACAAATAAATAAAATAAAAGTAGACATATTTTCTTTTACAATTAAAATTAATAGAAGGTGGGCTGGGTTGTGGCTCAGTGTTGGAGCACTTGCCTGGCAAGTGTGAGGCGCTGGGTTCAATCCTCAGCACCACATAAAAAACAAATAAATAAAATAAAAGTATGCTATCTATCTACAACTAAAAATATTTTTTAAAAAATTAATAGAGCAGGGCTGGGGTTGTAGCTCAATGGTAGAGTGCTTGCCTCATACTATGAGGCACTGGGCTCAATCCTCAGCACCACATAAAAATAAATAAAGACACTGTGTCCATCTACAACTGAAAAATATTTTTTAAAAATTAATAGAGCATACTACACACACACCCAAGAAGATACATTGTTAGTAGGACTGCAAATTAGTGTGACCACTCTGGAAAGCTGTATGGAGATTTCTCAAAAAACTAGGAATGGAACTACCATTTGACCCAGATATCTATCCCACTCCTCTGTATATATTCAAAGGATTTAAAAGAAATATACTGGGTTGGGGTTGTGGCTCAGTGGTAAAGCACTTGTCTAGCATGTGTGAGGCACTGGGTTCAATTCTCAGCACCATATATAAATAAACAAATGAAATAAAGGTCCATCAACATCAAAAAAATATTTAAAAAAAAATAAAATAAAATAAAAAATAAATAAAAGAAATATACTACACTGACCCAGCCATATCTATGTTTACAGCAGTTCAATTCACAATAGCTAAGCTATGGAACCAACTGAGGTGCCCTTCAACAGATGAATAGATAAACAAACCATGGTATGTATACACAATGAAATATTACTCAGCCATAAAGAAGAATGATTTTATGACATTTGCCAGTAAATGGATGGATCTGGAGACTATCGTGCTAAGTGAAATAAGTCAACCCCCAAAAGCCAAAGGTCTAATGTTTTCTCTGATATGTGAAAGCTAATCCATAATAAGATGTGTGGGTGAGGGATATCAGTGGAATAGACAAAGGGAAATGAAAGAAAGGGAGGAGGGATGGGATAAGGAAAGACAGCGGAATGAATCTGACATAACATTCCTATGTACATATATGAATATACCACAGTAAATCTCACCATTGCATACATTCACAATAAAATTAATTAAAAAATAACTATAAGTAAATGGCAGAAAGAACAGGGAGCAGAGTGTGGAAAGAAGGGAAGGGAAGAGGAAGGGGTGGAATTAGAACAAGATATACTCCATGCTTTTATAATTATGTTAAAATGGATTCAACTGTGCTGGGGCCATGGCTCAGTGGCAGAGGGCTTCCTCGCACATGTGAGGCACTAGATTCTATCCTCAGCACCACATAAAAATAAATAGATATTGTGTCCATCCGTAACTAAAAATAAAAAATAAAAAAGAAGCAACCTCCAAAAAGAAAAGTTGAGAATTGGTAAATAAAGTTTCTAACCTAAAAAAAAAGGCGGGGGGAATTCTACTGTCATGTATAACAAAAAGAAACAATAAAATTTTTAAAAATTTTAAAAATAATTCCTTTGTTTCATGAGTTTTCTCTTCCTTTCACTGTCAGGCAAGATCAAGTTCTATATTCTCCTCTGAAGTATCATTTTCTACCAGATTCATGTCTCAAGTGTGGCCCACAGCATTCTGTGTTTACGACTTCTATACTTCAACTACAACTTCTCTGGCCTGGGAAAGAATCTAAATTCTTTACCTCATACAAATTTACCACGGTGTAAAACATCAAGTTAATTATGAAAATAATGGTTTGGAGTCTTTATTGTTTTATTTTAATGAAAATTACCGATCTAGACATGCTGTGAACACTTCAGTTTTCCATAGTCCACATTCTTATTGCTTGCCCCCAACAATGTAGCCATGAGTCAGGGACTTATTACCACTTCTGCTATTGTGTTTTTTTATATTAAAGAAATACTTTATACCCATGTCTCTATCAAAAATTGAAAATTAAAGAGAGGCCATATGTTTTTTTCTATTTGCTCATGTTTCTAATCTCCCTACACCCTCAGTTTCATCAAATATAAAATGGTGACCATAACAGTTCTTGTACTCGTACAGATTTTATAGATTGAAAGTCGAGTGCAAAGGAGTTAAGTAACTTACCAAGATCATCCAGTAAGGAAA